TATAGCACCCAATCGATTCAGATCACCCCCCCCCCATTTTGTGTTCGTTCTCTCTTTACCGCGTACTCTGCATTTATACCGGCCACCCTCTTCAGTTCGTGAAGCGATGGATTCCTCTGTTAGTTTCTGAGCACGTAAGTCTCACAAATGTGGACATGTCGTGTCCAACTCTTTCACTACATTTTCTTGCCATCATTCCACATCACAGGAATGAATATTGATTTCTGATGGGAATGATGGCAAGACAACGAAGTGAAAGAGTTGGACACTACATCTCGCCACTTTGTGTGAGACTTACGTGCTCAGAAACTAATAGAGGAATCCATCGCTCCACGAACTGACGAAGGTGGCCGGTATAAATGCAGAGTTGAGTACGCCGTAGAGAGAATGAACACAAAATGGGGGGGGGGGTGATACAAATCGATGGGTGCTATACGACGTGTGCGGATGGGAGGAATGCCCACGCCCAGGTCAGCCGGGCATTCCGACTTGGAGAAAGGAGCAGAGCCCGGCGTAGCCGGGCGATGCGACTGGTCACAGCAGCTACAGCAACAACACACTTAAAGCAAATTCTTGAATAGACAACGGCACAGTGCATGGGCGCTATGAGGTTTCCGTATTATACCAAAACTTCACCCGAATACCTGCATTTGACCGCAAAGCTTCTTGAAAACACTGCGACGACTCGGAATGGGAGCCTCTAATCAACACCGTGATTCCCAACCTCATTCGAGCCCTCTGCGCAAAAACCGATATTTTCAATCGATATCGATCGATAGCATGTGACCCGATAGAATTTCGACTTTTACCACGGTCCCAAATCAACTGTGATTCCCGACCTCATTCGAGCCCTCTGCGCAAAAACCGATATTTTCAAGAGATATGGCGCAAGCCCCGCCCACTGGGTCGGACTCATCCACTACCATACCCTCTTCTGCCCAAGTCCTACATAGTGCCGCGCATGCCCTAAGAGGGATTGTCCACCCCAAATCGGGAACATGTCCCATCTATTTCTGAGGTCTACCTAGCCAATAAATGTGAGGGGTACAAAAACATCGACAAACAAACCAAACTACTGCTTTATATATAGAGGGGATTCCCTGGCACGTTCGGTAATTAATCTTTGAGTACGAGCACAATGAAGGAATGCTCAAACGCATTCTCAACATTCACTTCTCTGCCATTCGAATCAAAAAATCGGTTGCTCAGGCTCATCAAACTTTTGAGAGAGCGTAAGGCAGTCACGGTCAGGGTTCATAGCATCCCATCCGCCGATGTGCGCTGAAGTTCGCCGTCTATCCTAGGGTCACCTCCCTGTTTCTCCTTTCATTATTCGCCGTTTACGGCCGCAGTTCACCACCTTTGACTCCCAGTCTATGGCACTTTACTACCGTCCCAGATTTCTTTCTGCTGTTTGATTCCCTGTGGGGCGGTCGGGTGAAAAAATTAGCCCTTTAGCGCCCTGAGAAAGGCTAATGGTGTCGATTGAACTAACTGTGCTTATTCATCAAAGCCAACCATCACAAGATAACCTGCGATGTGGCCATCAGACTATGATGCTTTAGGGCACCGTTCATAGGAGTTTTCGCTTTTACATTCAAAGGGTTGAAGTTGTGCCTAAGATTCCATCACGATTTGGCCACTGATGATATGTAGGTATGCGAGACGAGTGCTATTACAAGTTCTTTCTCACTCCCCCACTTTCATAGTGATAGTGAATAAGAACTGGCGACTCTATGTCAACCAGACGCGGAAGACCAAGTAACTGCATCGACCAGAAAAGGTTGAGAATCAACGTATTCAGGCATAGGGTTATGTTATCGGCCTGCAGTGGTGTTCGGGGGTTAACCAAAGCAAACTCTCCCTTGCTGCAGCACCGTAACAAGCTGGGTCAATTGTACATAATTAGTCGTAATAACTTCGTATAGCATACATTATACGAGATCTGCGTTGATTTGATGGGTGTATAATTACGGGGGGGGGGAGCGACGAAAAGACATTTTTGCCCAGGTCCTATTTCCCGGTTTTTTTTTTTTTCCTTTCGCAGGATTGCTGCTCGGTTGAAATTTTCAAATATTAACCAGTTTTGCTCCGCCCGCTATCGCGCGCATCACACGGCAGGCTTTAGTGAAACTGAAAGACCCATGGAATATCAGCATGAGGTCCTCCATTAACCACCTCACTATTGAATGTGTTAGACCTTTCCCAGTTTCGCTGAAGTCCATCGAGAATACGCGTGATAACGTCTGGAGCTGAACTGGCATTTTCTCGCAACTGTAAACATCCAGCATTCTTTGTGAATTCGGACAATTTAGCGGTGAATAGGATTGCTGGTCAGTTCCCAAAATGTATCCTACTATATATAAGCGGTGTGTGTGTGTGTGTGTGTGTGTGTGTGTGTGTGTGTGTGTGTGTGTGTGTGTGTGTGTGTGTGTGTGTGTGTGTGTGTGTGTGTGTGTGTGTGTGTGTGTGTGTGTGTGTGTGTGTGGTGTGTGTGTGTGTGTGTGTGTGGGTGTGTGTGTGTGTGTGTGTGTGTGTGGTGTGTGTGTGTGTGTGTGTGTGTGTGTGTGTGTGTGTGTGTGTGGTGTGTGTGTGTGTGTGTGTGTGTGGTGTGTGTGTGTGTGTGTGTGTGTGTGTGTGTGTGTGTGTGTGTGTGTGTGTGGTGTGTGTGTGTGTGTGTGTGTGTGTGTGTGTGTGTGGTGTGTGTGTGTGTGTGTGTGTGTGTGTGTGTGTGTGTGTGTGTGTGTGTGTGTGTGTGTGTGTGTGTGTGTGTGTGACCGGAAATTCATAGCTCGAGTCACAGTAACGATAGCGCAGTGGTTCTTACATATGTTATAGGGGGTGGGATGGGGACACAAGTGGTACGTGATAGGAACTGATAACGACTGATAATAGCTGATAAGAGGGGCTAGAAAGCGAGCATCGCCAATTTCGTTTTGCCGTTCATATTGGTAAAAGAGCGTCTATACTTACAAGTGTTATGTGGGGCGGTCCCGGGACATTGGTGGTACATGATTGGAAGCGATAGCAACTGATAATGGCTGATAAGATGCGCTAGAACGCAAAAGTCGTCGATTCCGTTGCCTGGCTCGCGTTGACACCAGAGCAACCATACTTACAAGTGTTATGTGGGGTGGGACGGGGACATTGTTGGTGGGTGCCAGAAACTGATAACGATTGATAAGGGCCGATAAGGCGCGCCAGAACGCTGAAGTCGTCGATTCCGTTGCCTGGCTCGCGTTGACACCAGAGCAACCATACTTACAAGTGTTATGTGGGGTGGCGCCCCGCGGGGCCGCCTGGGACGGGGGACAGTTGTTGGTGGAGTGGGCCTAGAACTGTAACGATTATAAGGCGATAAAAGGTCGCGCGGTTGGGGAAGCAAGTGTCGCGAGATACACATAGCGGGGGTACCAGAATCGATCATTAGTTGATTGCCGAGATATAGGTAAGGGGCGGGGGCTGGACGGGGAACAGTACTGGTGGGGCGAAGAAGCAGAACACTGATAAGGGGCTGATAAAAGGCCGCTAGAACGCAAGGGGGTGGGTTGCGAAATTCATTAGACGCGGCGGGCGGGGGGTAGCAGAAGTCGTCAGGAAGTTGTCGCAGTATGGAGCTTTCCAAGTATCACAAGAGATTGTTGGTGTTTCGACCAGCTGAAATTCAAGTTATCTTCGAATTCTGCGAAGCGTGTCAATTTTTGAACCTAATACAGACAACGGAGGCGAACGACGCAGGCGGAGGCAGACCGGCGCGAACGCCGCTGGAACAGAGGAAGGACGCGCGGGGGCCGGCGAGCGAGCGAAGAGCGACGGACTACAGCGTGAGCAGAGACGAAAGAAACGGAAGGAGACGGCGGCGCCCGCGAGCAAGCGGCGCGCAGCCGAGACACAGGGGCAGGGGGCAACACCCCGGAGGGAGACCCGACGAATCTGCCGAGCAAGACAGGGGGCGGCGGGCCAAAAGTAAGGTAGACGGTCGCAGTGAACCACGAGCAAACGGAAGAAGGGCACGGGCCAGAACCAAAGCCGAAGGAGCCAAGGGCAAGGTGTAAAAGAGCACAGCGAGCCGAGAAAAAACAGAGGCCGGGCGGACACCGCGAGGCAGAGAAAACGAGGGCCAATGGGAAACATAGGGCGTGGTCGCTACGAGCCGAAGGAGTTGTGGTCGGGAAACCACAGAGTACACATGTCCTCCAGACGTGAAGCAAAAGCCAGCGCGCAGAAGCAGAGCCGACGGCCCGAAGAACACAGGCACCCAGTCGAGCCGAGGGAAGAAGGGAGGCGCCAGCGGTCGAAGGACAGGCGGCCGCCGGGAGCTCACGCGGGCGACAGAACGGCAGAGGCGGGAGACGGGAAGGCAGCGAAGGGGCGGAGCGCTGAGGGGAGGAGACCGCGAAAAGAAGAGGGCCCGAGAGAACGCCCAAAAAACAGGCGGCAGCCGAGGAGAGAAAAGGCAGAGATGCGCCAGGGGCCAAAAGGTTCGCGCGGGGGGCCCCCCCCCCCGGGCGGCTGGATAGTCCATTGTATTGCGAAGTGACAGGAGCTGTGGTCATCTTTTGGCAGAGCCCTAGTGCCCTTTTCACGCACTTTCAATCCACGGCACATTCTTTACATTTATGGATAGCTCTGTGCTAATCATGAAAAGAAATTATCCGCATGGTGTCTTGGATTGTGCCTTTGTAGGATGAAGTAGCTCCGGCGCTCAATCAGTGCACCTTAGCGACTGAAGTAGGTGATTGAGAACGCTCCGTTTTCAAAATTTCACAAAACGAAAAAAAATTCATGTAAAAATTTCACAAAACGAAATAACGGAATTTCATATCAAAATGAAGCTATAAATGCTCAGTGACACTACTTGGGCGAAGATATAATAAAAATAGGTCACATCAAAGTGAATCGTACTAGAAAGTATCGACTAAACCTTTTTCGAACCTGCTTTTGATTGCTTTCCAGAGTAGAATCTTAAAAGCCTTCCAGGGTCACCGTTGCGAAAGTGGATGTCGCATCAGAACGTGAAAGGTTCACCGGCTGCAGTCGGTTCTCTTGCAGAAACTCCACTGAGCGGACGGACCACCCCGTCGATGTCTTCAACATCACAGAACATGTCGTCGTGGACAGTCTCCAGAAGTGTCTCGTAAGTCCATAATTACAGATCTATACTTAACTAGACTACATCGCTACAATGGTCAGTACTATCGTAAACGTATTCGGAACTTATTTTGTCTCCGAAATCGATAATGTGAGCCTTGGCGCAAATGTTTCCCAGTGATGTTAAGACCCACGGTTGCAACTTTGACAGTTTTTGTTCCTAGTCGCTTCCATCTTCTTCCTCGAATCGCATGGCTCTAGGATTCACTGACCTGCGCGAGTTGGAAGAGGGAGGGTATTCTGGAAAGTTTGTTGCAGAATGTATCGTAGATTGTAGATTATATTGTTGTTTAGCGGAATGTAAACTCCTCAAAAGCTTCGAAGTTATCACTAAGCCTTGCTGTGTTTTTGGCAAAGTATTCCCTGAAAAGGCGCCGGCTGTCCCGTCGGGGCGGTGTTTTGCTCCTGACTTAGCATCTTGTGGATACTTTCTCATGGCACCAGGATCCGGTTGTTTGTCATAATATCTTTAACTCGCCGAGACCATTCACACACCGTCAACATCCACCCACTTTGCCTCCAGAACTAGCCGTCGGGGAGGGGGGAGGGGTGTATACCAACAATAAACCGGCACAAATTTCTCGCGCTCCTTCAACCCCTGCGCCCAAACTCAGCCATCAAATTCTCAGATTACATCAAATACGACCACCTACAAACTTACAAAATACGAACCCCCCGTTGGTTACTTGTCGCAACATAGGACTGACCCTGGGCAAACTGCCAAGAACAAGGGCTGAGAATCAAAACAAGTCGTAGTATGTCTAACAATGCTTGAGTGTACCGGGATGTTCCTGACGCTGAGTGAACTATTTGAGGCACACATCGTGGTGTGGTAGTCCAACCAAAGTAGTGGATCAGAAGGAATGCTAGTAGATAGCTGCATGAGTTGGTTGTTTGTGATTGTATTCTGTCGTGTTGTGTACGAACATTTCAGTCGTGCTGCTTCCATATGCACTCTGCATAGTTCACCGAAAAGGCAGTCGAATTCTGGGTCAGTTTTACACATTATTTTCCATGTCTATATTGAAGCATAGCATGACTTTCTGTCACATTAACTGGCAAGCACGTCAGTTTTTATTCCTAATTTTTGGTTATTTTGGTTCCCTGGTTTTTGCTTTTGTTTCATGGATGAAGGACTTCATCCTAGGCAAATTTAGTGTGCGCAAACCTCTCTGAATTATCTCTCCTTAACCTGAGTCATGTCCAACACAACACAAAAAAGCAGTAGAAACTAGTGATCTAGTTTGCTCCATTGGTGAAATTTCGTGTATGATTGATTTCAATCACAAGTGCTTGATTACAACTCCACCAGGAGCAAAAAAGGCAGAAAAATTGCTTTTTGCCAATTCCTTACCTACTGCGCTTGGCGCAAGCTTGACATGAAATTTTTCTCGCCGAATCGTTTGAAACTTATAGATGAGATTTTGTTGAGGATGTTGTTATTGTTGAGCTCTGGCTATTAGTATTGCATTAGTTCTGGTGCCGGAGCCGTTTACTGCAATTTTGGCTCCACTTCACGCCAAGCTGTTGCCAGATGGCTTCGACACCGTTATATCTATGATAATCTGCAATCCTATGAACAAGTCCGCGTTCATTTCACCGCAAGATGCGCATTTTTCCCTTCAGCTCTTCCTTGCTCAATGTTCCTCTCACAAAGAGTTTTCTTTATTCTTTATTCAAAAATGTACTTAAAGTGTTTTTTGTTTTTTTATTTATTTTTGGTTTGTCTTTTTCTTTATTCAAATGTTCATTACTTTTTTTAACAGACGTACACGCCATATTGATAAACTGAGGCGCACAGCTGGTTATTTGAGGCAAAGAAGAACAACTGGAAAAATAGCTGGAGATCATTTTCTACCACGTCCTGGGTCCCGTCCCCCGATTACTCGGTATAATTGCAGAAAAGCTAGTGACAGAATCGGGAAGGAGGGATCTTGCACCTATTCGCCGTCACGCAAAAAGGCTTTTATTTTCTGACCTCAGAGCAGAGCGATGGAGGAGATTTACAATCCATAATCTTTGGCGATATCAAAATTTGGGTTCCTGAAAATTTGTTTTTGTTGAGAGCTTTCAAATTTGTGCGCATTCTTTGGATCTCACGGCGGAACTTCCTTTTTGATTTTCAGTTATGCTTACCTAAGAAGAGGGCACCAAGTCACTTATCGTTAGAAGCGAATCACGCCCACCCGCGTCGCTTCTCGGAATAAGGAATAGAGTCATGTTTTCAAGCGCTTCTTCATGATTTTCTTCCGAACCACAGGCATTCGAAGTCGAACGCAATATTCGTATGCCTTGCGATGCAATTTCCTAGGTCGCCTGGTGCAAAACGGTTAAATCTCCTTTGATCAGGGGGGTCTGGTGTCTTCTTAAGGTTGTTCAGGAGAGATCAAGAGTTCCCGGAATGTCGTGTGGTAGCTGGTTTTCGTCAATGGAAATCGAATCCACACAAAACAATAATTGGCTATGTTCCTTATTGCCCCTGGTCATCAGAGCTTCATAGATTGGTAGCTCGCCACGTGGAAAAATTCGAAGCTCGTAGCTCACATATGTGCGGCGACCCCCTCTCTCCACCTAACACACAACATCTAATCTAGTTGCTTACTAGACTGATTCTGTGTAAAAAAAAAAAAATAAAAAGAAGATAAGGGAAATCCTCGGAGTTGCCAGTATTTTTGCATCTGCGAATCGTCCGACATTTCCAGACAAGAACAAAGAACCTTTCCTTTATATATTGACAATGGATAGTTATTGGTACTTTATATAATGCAGACTTGAAAAAAAGGCTCAGAAAACGCACAAATTCTGGGAGAGAAAAAGAAAAAAAAAAGAAGCTCATTAGTGATTTCAATATCTGCTTTGAGATAAGGAATAGGTGATGGTGTACAGAGGGAAGTGTTTTGACTCATGTAATTAATTCGTATAGTTTTGCCAAAATAAATGCCTAAAAATGTCAAGAAATGGAAAAAATCAGTGCACCCTCCAAACAGTTGAGGGTGAAGCACGAACTGAAAATTTACATATTTAATGCAAGAAAGAAAAGAGGGACATAAGAAGATTCTAACGGAGTCATTTATATTGCTCTTAGTGGGACGTCATCAAATAGGAGGTGGATCTTTTGCGAATAAAACAAAATTGGCAGAAAAAATAAAGAAGCTGTGTGCGAAATGTTCACAACAGGAGTTGAGTCTAGGATTTTTTTCATCTGGTGCAGCCCCACGTGTGTATGTCGTTCTTTGGATTCCAGACAGCTTATTTACAACAATAGACTGTAAAATTACCGTACATATTCATAAAAACGACAATGCACCATGTGTGCATCACATAGGACGTAGTGGGAGTTTGCACATGTGGTAACAATATACCTCCCCTTCAAAAAGCGAGAAAGTGTCGGGTGCAGACCATGCACCACAAGTGACGACGGCCTTCACAAAATGTTAATGTTTTCTGCCAATGAAATGATTAGCCTGTTGCAGTTGTATTCTATCGATTGTCACTAATTACAACTATCATTTACCAAAATCAGCTATCACTATGAACACTTCTAACCAGATTTACTTGGAGGCCGTCGTCAGTTGTGGTGTTTGGTCTGCACCCGACACTTTCTCGCTTTTTGAAGGGGAGGTTACATGTTCACTGTTAGTAGGTGTATTTCTTTCTCTCGAAAAAACTGGAAAGAAATCGATGCAATTCCTAGTTCATTCACATAAGGGATTGGAGCATCTTGATACTTTTATGGAATTCCTTCCCCTCATATCCAAACGCAATGTATGCGTTTTTTAAAGCTGTGTTTTTTTTACAAGGTTCGAAATAAGAATGTAGTACAGATAAACTCTGAATAGTAATTGCAGGTGCAATAATCGAGAGCCGATTTTCAATGCTTCGTCACATGTGCTGCAACTACAAGTGGCCGGCCGGTCGGTGACAGTCCCTGTTCCAGTGTCTGTTGAAAGTATTGAACCCACCGCGGAACAACCACCACCTGACTGCCTTCCTCCTCGAATTGAGTGGGCATACGGTAAGCTTGGAAGATTCCGTCACATTTCTCTGAACTTTGTACAAAGCCTTTTCATAAAAACTGGTGAGGGATAATGGTCGTAAACAATGGCTCTGTTCAGGCTATCGTGGAAAGGACGTGCGGAACAACGTTCACTATCTACCGACCGGCGAACTGGTGTACTTTTGTGGTTCTGTCGTGGTGTTGTATAATATAAACGAGCAGTATCAACGACATTACACTGACCATACGAGCGACGTTAAGTGGTGAGGGTCTTTACAAAATGTACGTAATTCTTTGTTTATTCAACGACATAAAAGAGTCAATATGGGGTTTGAATATAAACAGTAAGTGCGAAATGACCAGCAGGTGTAGACACTGTGGGTAAGCAAGCGGACGACGCGTCGAACGAACGACAGACGCCGACGTGAGGCCGATTCAGACTTTGCGAGTCGAGCGATTCGCTACCAGTGATTCGCTCGATTGGCTAGCGCTCTTACATCGGCCTGAGAGCTTTGCGGAGTGCGAAGCGGGAAATGCCAAAGCACTGCATGCACATGGTTACCTGGCGTGTCCATAGTTGCAAGTTCCAAGCCCGCGGACACTCGTTAGAAGTTGCTGACGTAGCATCCCTAGGGGAGCTGGACCAATAATCAAATCCCAGTGTGGGTCTTTAACCTTAAACCATTTATGAAATTTCTCCCTTCACTGGTTTTCATTATGACAAGAAGGAAGCTTTATCGTATCTCTTTCGAACATAGTTTTATTTGAGCATTTGTGTTCATCCGAGTCGAGTACTGATCGCCAGTGGACAGACCACCTGTCATCGACGAGACCGTCGACCGGAGTTTGATCGACGAGACGTCATCGTCACACCGTTGGATATCGAAGAAGAGCTTGAACATAACCATACTGAGGTTAGGTTTCCCGTCATTTTATTTGTCTACGAGAGCGTAGAAAAAATGTACACATCCCTTTACATAGATGGAAGTACTCATTTTTCGTTGAACAGAGCCAAAATAAAAATTGCTTTCCGCAACCAATATCTTTTTCTTAGAGAAAATTTGGGACGTTCTGGGCCTTCCGCTTCCATTCGAAATTGTGATGTGCTCAAGCGTTGTGCGCAGTGAACGATGGGGGAGGGGTGGGCATTGTGATGCAAAGTGTTAAATGTCTTCCGAATCACGAAAAACACATTCTCTTTAATCCTTAAGAAAAAGTAATACTCACCTAGTTCATCCTCCCTCGTAAGGGAGTGGAATAATCCACCCCGTGACTTCTTTTCCAGCCAAAATTAGCACAACTGAAGGCGGTTCAAACTGTTGCACCACTATAGCCCACCTCTCCTCCATTCGCTCTCCCATGCTACATTTCGCCCTGAGATTTCATATGTGCATTTTCGAAACTAGTAACTTTCAATAAGCCAATACCTTGTCAGTGTTTTTTATTTATGTCAGTTTGAAATCGCTCCGGCCACCTGTAGAATGAAGAAATAACTTGCCTGTAATAATCTCAGTAATAGTGCAACAACTCCTATACACTGGAACATAGCGTTAAGATCCAGCACCATGGATTCTGCTCATTTAGGCTCACGTTCGTATTTGGGACAGCATTACGTTGACTACATTGCACGTGCTGGGCGGCTCCAAAGCGATGTTCGAAAAAGCAATAGCAGCATTGGCATTTTCAAACACTGACGGTGAGTCATTCGCGTTAACACTCTCTCCATAGTCTTAAAAATTCGCGTAGTATTTTAGTAATTTGGTAGGAAACCGAAATGGCTTTCAGAGTGGGACTCTCCTTGCCTGACATCGAATGACTCTTCATCGCACACTTGTGTCCGGTGTGGAAGGTGGTCCCAGTGAGGTCAAAGTGGGTTGAGGTAGGATGGGGATACAGGTGGAGTAGAGTGAGTTTCCGGAACATTCTAACATCAGACTTTTTACCTTATTTTTCGTATTTAAAGGGAATGTTAGCTATTTAGTCAATGCAGCTATGAGAACCATGCGGAATGTTCTAAAAACATTCAAATATTTTTATATATCGAAATGAAACAAACTGTTTTCAGAGTGCGAACGACCAAATATTCGCTGCCAGCTGGCATCCGATAATGAAAAATCTGATTGTTGTCTACGGCCGTGCGATTTTCGCATTCTGGCAATTTGACGGAAAGAACGAGACGCTCACAAAAAACTTGGCTATTTTTGAGGGTTCTTTCCAACATTTCTCAGCCACATGTGGAACTGAAGCCATTCATCTTCAGTTTTATTTGGAAGCCATAAATTTCCTTATTCAGGGGAGAGATAAACCGAAGACGTTGCTTTCTATGTGTTTTTCGGAGACGGGCGATGTGATTAGATGTAAATTACTTGGGTATAAAACGGAGTGACTAGAACACGGAACGCTTCGTAGTGGAGATATCCTATCACGTACAAGACCAAAAAACAGGTAAGTCTCGTATGCAGATGACAAGGCATAGTAAAGAAATAAGAGCAGTTGCACAAGAAGATAGAAAACTGATCGTTATTCGAGTGAAAAGGGATCGTTTAACAATGAATTTGTGTGCAGCCTGGTTAGTCTGTTAATCTCTAGCTCATGGGTTTAGATTACTAACTACAAGGGGGAGAAGGAGGGAGGGGGACGGTGGCTAACGAACGGTCTTTCGTCTAGTACTATGCACACTTCACCAAACCTTTCGTCGCACACGTTGCTACCGCATGGAAGTTCTACGGCGAAATGTTCCTCACATTCCCCCACCCCCGATCCCACAAGCAGAAGCAGGCTCGCCTTCACTGCCCTCACCTTCTTCAGAACATGACGTCATTTGCATCACCCTCGAGGAGGCCTACCGTAACCGCTTCAACCTGAAGCTACATAATTTCTTTGATCGTTTAACTGATGGATAGTTTCCCAGTGAGAGTATCTGAATATGCAGCACCCCTTCCGGACGGCACTTCGGTTAAGGACGTAATGGCCCATTATTCGTCGAAGACTTCGTTTAATTCGAACCGTACGCTATGTACCGGTAGGAAAATCTTTTGATATCGCGGAGTTCGAAAACTTCTATGAAGTCTTTTTTCAATAGAAGGGCACCTGCTCTTTAATTTCCAATTGAGATCATTCGGTTTGAATTCAGCAACTTGTAATTAATCCCGTTTGAGGTGCAAAGGAGAGCGACTCTTTTTCATCGTCCCCTATAGATACATTCAAAATACATCGTTTTCATGATAACATGCGTTCTGTTTAGCCCTCACTTCTAGTATTTACTGTACAAGTGTACATAGCAAAGCTATCGCTCGTCCGTTCACCAGAGAGACACAACTGGTGTAAGGGACATGTTAAATACGCTTTTATTCTCGATCGCGTTTGAAGTCTTTTTAGAGTAAATCATTCATCTGGTAGAATAGAACATGGTAGGGTTTTGTAGTTTCGAGGCAAAGTTTAGCCAAATGGGGCAGTATTTGTGGAGAATTTTGCGACTTTTTCGCAATTTTTCCGCGGTATTCTGTCGTTTCAATTTCTACTCTCCCTTCCACGGGCTTTTGTGTGGTTTAAGGGGCGGAGTTGAAATGTGTCGAGTGGAACTTGGTCCACGAAATGATCGAGACCAGCTCTGGAGATGGGGGAAGGGGAAGGGTGGCCGAGCATTTGTTCGAAATGGGCCACACCTCTTGTTTACCACGTTCTCGCTACTTCAGTAATTTCCATTTTGATTTATAAAAACAAAAGAGATGCATTATAGCGGAATACGGAGAAGTAACCTTCTTGAATTACTATCAGTCACTAATTTAATAAACTATTAATTTGTATGAAAAAGATGAAATGAATTCTGTGAGAAACATTTGTAGGCTTACGCAGTGCATCCAGGAGGAGTGTTTGCTCTATGTGTGAGCCGCAAAGGGACACTGTTAAGCGCTGGCAAAGATCGCACAGTAGCTGAATGGGAAACGACCGATTTGGTTCGTCGGCGGAGACCTGTCGAGGTGAGAAGCCTTGTGGTTCTTTCGCTATTGCGCTGAATAGACTTGGAAAGTATTGACCCAGTCGTTTCGTATTGAAATTGCACTCATTCATCATAAAATTGGAAGAAAAGTCAACACTCGGCATCCACTCGGGATACTACCTATTTGACAAAGAAATTGCTCCACTGAACTACCCTTAGAGTTTTGATCCTTCTGAATAGCTTCCATTCTCCAATAAATTTTCAGAAACCCTCCTAATGCTTCTGACGAAAAAGGTTTCAGTGGAAAGGTGTGACAATTGGATGAAATGCATGTAATTTGATGGAATTTTTTTACATATCTACAAAAAAAAACGCAGAATTCTGGATTCTATTTGTAGATCTTACGCCAAATTTGGGATGAAACCACCTACTTTTCTATCGGTATGATCTGCCGGCATACACACAAGCGTCATTAACTTAAGAAGTTGGCGCCATTCGAAGGGCCTCTTATATTCTGTGAGAAGTGAGGTGGTCGCTATTCCAAGATACGGATGTATTGGGGGCAAATGCGTTTCAAGAACCGCACAAAACATCGCCTTTCTATTAAACGCGAGACTAACAAGGGAGGTCGTTCAGGGTGTGCCAAGCTTTTTCAAAATGGTTTCTTTGCATGACATTGGGGCACATGTGGGAACCACAGAACCATGGTTCGTTTTTCCTGAACGGCCCTCTGAATACCAGAAAAGGGTCCCTAGTTCGATTCCTCGTGGTGACAAATTTTTGCATTTCGAGTTGACGTTTCAAAATTCGCGCAAAATGGAGTTAGCATGAAATTAGTTCCATATTCATGATTAGGGACGTCAGTAACCCTTACAAATAGACTTTGATTAAAAAGAGGTGCGACACCAAAACGGCCCCACTGTGAGGTCACAACTTTCCACCAGTTTTTTAATCACAGTCTATTTTAAAGGTTGCTGACGTCTTCAATCACGAATATGGAGCCAATTTTGAATTTTTGAAACGTCAACTCGAAATGCAAAAATTTGTCACCACGAGGAATCGAACTAGGGACCCTCTTTTTTGATATCAGAGGGCCGTTCAGGAAAAACGGAACATGGTTCTGTGGTTCCCGCATCTGCCCCTATATCATGCACCAAGAAACCGTTCTAAATCGCTCGGGGAAACCTGAACGACCTTCCTTTGTCCAACGCTTAGGAGCAGTGGAGGGGTGCGGGGGGTGTGGTTGTGTGAAGAGAGCCTCTAGTGTGCGTGGTCTATTCTCCTTCTTCGAGATGTTTATGCTCCTCTTAACGGTAATCCTAGAGGAGGCCCCATATGTTGCGATCGCCGTCAAGTGGGTCCCATTCTCCATACAAACTTTTAGTGCAGGTACGGCATCCTGAGACTCATTTTGGGAGCGAATGAAGACGGTTGCACTGGGTCCTCAATCTGTTCCTCTCAAATATGCATGACTCTGAGAAACATCTCGATGATTTACAGCACTGATTCCTTTACATGACATGAGCAGCCCCACGTAGATTTCACATAAGCCTGGTGCTTGAAAAAAATTGATGAGCTGTCTACGAAGTAGCGCGAAGAACGACAAAAAGAATTGGGAAACTTTTCTTCCATCGAGAGATGGGTAGAGCTCAAGCCTGTGACGTTTTAGCTCAGTCGATAAAAAATAAAAGTAATATACAGCGAGTCTTTCTGAGGACATTTTTTGACTTTGTGGTTCATTGGTCAGTACCAGATGACGCAGGAACGCCAAAGAGTGAGTCTGAAACTTGGGAAGCGTAGTGAGTTATTGTCGGACAACGCGCCAACACACTTTACTCGGTGATTGAGTCACATTCGAGGAATTGCGTGGACGTAGGTTTTGGACTGTTTACTGGAGATGTGCTAGTGTTTCACAACTCCATTTTTCAGGGTGACTCAGAAGACGTCACGTATTGCGTGGCCGTGCCGCCTCACCTGTTCATAACTGCTAGTGCTGATGGTGGCGTTCGGCAGTACGACACATCTACAAAGAAACGGAATTGGCGAAAGAACTACGCGGTAACGTGAAGATCACTTCTGGTGTTCGAGCCCTTTTATCAAGTATGTGTTCAGGAGGGCATTACATGTATGTCGGTGGATCCGCCAGGTGCATTGCTAGCTTTGGGCTTCACCGATGGATCATGGAGCATACTGGATTTGTCCACAAAGGAAAACGTATTTGAACAGAAAGAGTCGACTCAACCAATCACTACAATACAGTTCTCGCCTAGCGGCAGTATGTTGTTTGTGGGAACGAAGGTACTCTTCTTATTAGCCCTGTTACCTTTCTTATTCTAAGCTTCAGTGGGAGTGATTACATCGTCACGAAGATGCGCTACTTTCATTTTACGTGCTGGTCATGCGAAATCCCCGCTAAGCCCGCCCCCCCCCCCCCCCCCCCCCCCCCCCCCCCCCCCCCCCCCAAACCTCCCCTATGAATAGAGGTGAAAGAGCAGCAGAACTTGGGGAAGTGAACATCTACAGAGACACAGCGGTGGTTGCACTTAACCCTTTGACTACTGGTGGGACACATGTGTCCCACTTTGTAGTCAAAGACACTACCACAGTTTCAGGGAATATTGAGGCAGGAGCGCTCATTTGATGGCTGAATTGTGCACATATAGAAGCTTTCTAATTCTTACTATGACAATTGAATCGTCAGAAGCTAAAGCGAGTCATCCTGCGTAAGTTAATCTTTGACTACTGGTGGTACACATGTGTCCCACTTCGTAGTCAAAGACACTACCACAGTTTTGGCACTTATTGAGATCGGAGGACCCGCTTTGGCGGATTGTGCACATATAGAAAATTTACAATTCCTTCTATCATCCCAAATCATCCTAAGTCAGAGCGCGTTGCCCTGGATAAGGCAATAAGCAGGTCTCATCGCAGGTCACTGTACTGTGTTCACACCTCCCAAAAGGGTAAATTTCGAAGCTTCACACTCTTTATACTTGTTGTAATGGTTCCAGTGTTTCCCAATTATGTGTTATCACCGTTGCAACGTTGCCAGGCCAAACCAATGAGGGATGGGGGCATTTTGCCGGTCACAAGCCAGTCAGTGAACGACGCAGCGTACTACGATTGTGTTGGAGATTCCGTCCTCCAGGGATCTGTCAGTTCCCTGGAGGACGGGATCTCCAACACAGTCGGATGTTACGGAAGTGGTAGTAAAAGGCTCCTATGATGGCGCAGATTTGGGAATAAAAACCCACGAAAATCCTTTGCAGCAGAAGCAGCCGGTGAACGCCGCTTGTAGCGCGGAGCAGCACTCCTACCAAGTGAAGCTTACAATTCTTTCCAAGTGCGTTCCCAACCGGACATTAGCTTATTCCAGGAATGCAATGTGGAAAATGTGTATTTGGTAAATGGTAATTTAACTGCCAGTCTATTTTTTCGAAAATGGTCATTCGAGCGGAGATGGTGTTGTGAAAGGAGGGGCCACTATCGCGCGTATGGTCCCTGGATCAAATCCCAGCTCAAACCCAGCGTACGTCAGCCAAATTTCTGTAGATGATTAGTTGTTGCTAAGGAGCGACAGATACTACACAGAACACATCGACAGCTTCTTTCAAAAAAGTCGTTGTCTAAGGGTTAAAGGCACGCTCCTGGATCAGGCGCCCACAACTCGCACCTTCGCCCGCACGTGGCGCTGCTTGAAAAACGCGGGCGCACTTGAGGCAGCGGTTGCATTGCAGCGCAATGTCATTGGGACTGGAGCAACTGGAGTTAGACTCGCGAAACTCGTCCAACACGCTTTCAAAGAAGTGATTACGGTAAGATTGGGTAGGGCATACACTGGATGTGGGTATGCTTCATAATGAGCGAGTGGCGAAAAAAGAGGAATGCGTCAAAAACACGTAAAATGATACCCCTTCATTAGCCCACTGAGCTCCGACAATGGTCGAGTCAGCAACCAGACATGGAGCCGTATGCGCGTGCTAACTCACCATGATGCCAACGAACGCCATGCTCTTCTGACTGATAAGCATTACACAGGAGTTTGGCGACACGGCCGCTTGATGTTAGGCACACTTTCAGAATGAAACGATGCTACTACCGGCAGCAAGCGGATCATAGGCGGAAACGGGTGCAGAAATGATTGGCAGGCCCTGTTAACAGTAACTAGTGCACCTTTGCCGCAAAGGCCACATTTAACCTTCTTTTGCCTATGGCTACTGCTTCTTACTTCTTACTGTATAGTGCGCACACACATTTTATCGTAATCCCTCGCTTTAAAGCAACACCTCCAGATCAAATTTGTGGAGTAACAGCGGTCGATAATGGAGTTGTAGGTATCGAAAAGACTGAAACCGAAAAAAGAATCAAAGGAATCAAATCGCTGATAAACCCATTTACAAGCGTCTTTTCTCCTCTTTGGAATAAGAAAGGGGGAGACGGACGAGTTTTCGGAACATGCTTGCTCCATGGCTCAACTAACCCGCGCCTACTTGGAATAATCCACGCTGAGTTTTATGGGATGTGCGCGAGGTATCTCGTCCATAGGTTATTGTTAGCTGCCATAAGTAAGCTTTATGAAGCGAGTTAACTTTATGAAGCCCCAGCGCGATTGTCGCAACTTTTTAGCCGCGAAAACAGCATATCAGTGATACACAGGGACTACTCTATCCCACCACTGAATAGATTCTTCGACACAACTTCTGCTGAGGTTGTTGCTGTAAGGACTTCAAAACACTCAACATAC